GGGGGGGGGGTTGTTGTTGTTTAATGCAGGTGTTATTGCGTCCCCATCGACGGTTTGAGAGTTACACAACATACCAGCATAAAGACCAAGTTACACAATGAAAATTCCCCTTGCTCAGTAATCGAACTCGGATCTGCTGCATGCGACGCGAACTCAGCTTTACGAACCAGTAAATTGTACTCGTATGTCTCTTAACTACCACTTCAACATATCATGTCACATACGTGATCAAATATCAGGGGATCTATTTTACAAGGCACTGATTCAATTCTAAAAGTGTTCACGCCACAGCTGAATGTTTAGAGAATCGGATTTTGTTTTACGGTTCGACAGACTCCTTTTATAACGCGTTTTGATAGCACGTTATCCATCCACAATACTAACAAAGGTTGTTGTCCTTGATCGATTCCGGTGTATGTCACCGTCTCAGGCTCGAGACATCCGTTAATTTTATGAGATCATAGCGTAAATGGACACACTTTCAGGAAGTCAAGCAGCTGCATAACAAAGAAAGTGTTAGATTGGAACCCCCCAGGGTAAAAGGTCAAGGGGAAGACCTCGTGGAACCTGGAGAAGAGTCACGGAAATGGATGTACAGAAAAGTGGGAAGACGTGGAGTGACATCAAGCGACTAGCCCAGGATAGGGAAAGGTGGAAAGTGTTTGTTCGTGGCCTGTATCCTGATCCAGGGTGAAAAAGGCAATGATGATGTGGATAGCGTAATGGCGAGCGGGTGCGCTTCGAGGCTGTTTATCAGATTGTTTTTTCTGTGAGTTTGTTTGGTTGGTTGGTTGTTTAGCTACTGTTGTTTTTTAACTTCACCTACGCTTCTTGGTCGAAGGTATCTTAAGGGAAAAACCAAGATCCCGATTGGTGTGTCTCTGTGTTACCGCATAATAAAAGAAAATTCTTCCTGTAAATAGATCTATCCCAACAATACATTCTTCAGTTGATTTTCAACTCACGGAGTGTAATGTTTTAGTAGAGGTTTTACTGCGCTCGCAACAGCATAAGGTCATTATGAGCGCCAAACCGGGTGTGAGCATATCGGTCCTTCGAAAAAGTTGGAAGACGCGCTGTTTCACTTTCATATTAATTTTTCAATTCTATTTTCTGTATCTGAAACTTAGAAAGGCAGGAAACAACATGCATAACATTAATAAATTGTGTGTTTCTGATTTTTGAAAGTTTGTTCGAAACGTGCTGCAATATTCCCTTTGGTCTACCGAATAGACATAGATCTACTATTATGTGCCAACTAAGTTCCTTATTAAAGAGTTAACAATTATGTTAGAAAGGAATGCTATTGTGATAGAAGTGATATAATAA